CTTTAATTTATAAATATATAGATAATATAAATATAAAATATAAAGGTAACAAGTTTATTTTCATTCTTATCATGATACTATACTGTTCCATTTTAAATTCTAGTTGCTAAGTATTGCAATAAGAAGTTTTTGAACACTACTATTGAATTGCCAATAATTTATGTGTAGGTATCATATGCATAAACATCTCATAGAAAAAAGTGACCGAATATAATAATTTCAATGTAACATCATTAGTATTTCGAATATTGAAAAGTGAAAATTGCAGTACACTTTACATGCCAAAAGAAATCTTATTTGGAAAACAAAAGTAGAATCATCGGTTGATTCGACAAGTTTTACAAGCAGGAACAAGTTGCAGAAGAAATCTGAATAGCAACGAACACGGTGGATTTAGTATTTGATCGCGATTAAAGGAAACGTTCATTGAGACTGAAAACTTGATGAAATCTCAAAAAGTGAAATATTGATAGTTGTTTTTCTGTACATACAAGATATTCAAATATATCGCAATGAAATTTGTAATGACACGTCAAACCATGCTCAGTGGTCTTATAAAATACGAGCAAACGAACGTAAAACAGCGTAACGAACTTAATTGGAAGATAAGTGAAAGATATCCCGACTAAGAAAACACACATAGGAATTTGCAAAAAAATAATTTTTAAAGGATGCAGTACCTTCTCGCACAGAGCTTTTACTTGGGTTTCTGTTAGTGGTCGGCAGTCATTTAAATGTTCTATCCACTGGTCGAGCTCCTTCAACGATAGTTTTTCCTCCATCGTACGAATCTACGTGAAGTCTACGAATATCCCGCACTCTTAGCACATGTAATAAAAGTAAAGCGAGTCCGTCTCGTAAACTAAATCATTCGGTTTTACTGGAAAAGCTTTTTAATACAAATATCCCGATCCAGCACACACTCACAAAATGGCCGATCGCGAGTACTGACGGTGACGTCACAGTCAACTCATGCGTGCTTCACTAGCTATAACCTGGATTATCATGTTGGCCAATCACAGCTCGCGTTTATCGTACCTTGGCCAATCACAAGTCAATTTTATTCCCGTCGCACGTATACTATTGTATACTGTGCAATTATGACTGCATCGTTTTAACGACAATGATTACGTTCTTCTTAGAAACATCGGAGCTTTGTAGTGACGTATAGATATGAGATAAAATCTGGTAAAAATGAAGGAAGAAAACATTTGAATATAAGGCATATGGCGGTTTCCGAACTTTGCCGCGGATTTAATATTACACTCTACATTCAACCGTTTCGCACTGATTATATTTGTTCTGTTACCATGCCGACATAAAAACCCGCCTAATTCAATCAACTTGTTAATATCTATAATATGACGAAATTTTTATTTTAGATGTATCTCTAAAATAAAATGATAGTTTTTTTAAATATATTGCACATGTCATATTGAACTTAGTTGCGAAATAAAATAACTATGAAACTTGGTTGATGAAATCATTTTCAAAACATACATACCATTACTATCATTTCGAATTTTTATTTTGTAATGAAATATCTTACGTTAAGTTTATAACCCGCATGTGTGATTGCCGTGCGGATGTTCGGATGCCGTTTGCTTTCGAAGCGAAGCACGTATGTAGTCCGCTGGCATCCGCACAGCACTTAGTGTTTCTTCAATAGTTAAAAAAGCAAGATGTAAAAATGAAACGAAAAACGGTTTTGTTGTTTATTTATTGTTATATTAGAACCTCTTTGCGTCCGAAACGGATGCCGCGTCGCGCTGAACGCCCCAATAAGATTGAATGCTTGCACGCATGTTAGCGTCCACTTATAAGGCACTTAGCAAACACATATTTATATAATCTCAATATATTTCACATATATCAATAAGCACAAAAGTACAGTTCAAGATGTATTTAATGGAAGAGTACATAGTGTATAAAATCATTTGAATAAAAATATTAATTGTTTACTTATATAGTAAACTCTCTGTGGTAGTTATGAATTTACAGCATCACTGAAATATAAGAGAAATGCACTGAGTATTTGATAATGAATACTGCACATAAAAAACAATTTAGTTTTAATGTCTTTGCATAATTGTTCAATTTTTTTTTGTATTGCTTATGTTGCTATTTCTTTATATAAATAGCAACATTGATTGAACGCCTTTGTGTTATAGTTTTATAATTATTAAGTTATTTTGCAAGGTATACAAAGTTTTTTTAACCATTTAAAAGTGTTGAAAAGTATCCATGTACATATTATCAATAAACAAAGGTATTCAATTGAACTAAGTTAAAGTAAATTCATGTTTTATGATTGTGCAAAAAAACAAGGGATAAATTGCTGAATATATCAATTGATTTTAGTCATTTAATAATAATATGATAGGATTATTAATATAATATAAAATGTAGAAAAGAGGAATGTACTCCTTGTTAAAAAAAAGTAATAATTTCATACCTTTGACCTATAAAATTGGGAATTCATATCTGATTTTTTTGCTGAAAATAATCCTTTAAAATAATACTAAAAGAAATAAACAACAGTATCAATAGATATGGTTTTAAGAGTGATCATAAAGTGATCTATTTTGTAGAACTACATCATCTATCTACAAAGTGTTGCATCTAATTGAACAAGCCATGGCAACAATAATTTAATCTTTCTTCTGTAATTTGAATCTTTGGCAACAGGATTGTGCTCTAAGTAAATAGTCTGCAATTTCTTATTAACTTTTAAATTCTTCACAGTTGTCCATTCTTCAATTTCATTGTTATTTACCTGAAGAATATATTAAATGTTAGGAAAATATGTAAATAAAGATATAGTACAACTTTTAATCAAAAAAAAGGTAATAGCATTTTCACCCAAAACTCCTCTAAATCTTGAAGATGATCAATGTTTTCAATCTTTTTTATTTTATTATTTGCTAAATCCAATGTCGTCAATTTTGGACAATTTATTAATCCTTCAATACATATTATTCCATTTTCAGATAAATACAACTGGTCCATGTTCTTTAATTCCTCTAGATTCTCTATTTTTATGATGCGATTACTTTGAAGACTTAATAATTGAAGATTTTGTAAACATTCTAAATGTTCAATCTTTGTTATTTTATTTTTACCAAGGAACAAACTTGTTAGATTCTCAAGACCTTCAAGATTGATGATTTCTCTTATTTTGTTGTCACCTAACTCAAGAGTCGTTAGGTTCTTCAAATGTGACATATTTTCAATGCATTGAATCTTGTTTGATGATAGGAATAATTTCTGTAAGTTCAGTAAGTTTTCTAGTCCTTCTATCTTTTTTATGCGATTAAAAGATAAGTCTAAAAGTCTGAAAATATAACAAATTCATGTTAAAATTTATTTATATTAAAACATTGTGAGGTATTATTATTTATCTGCTTATGGTTATCTTATTACATACTCCAAATTTACAAGAGCATCTAAATTTTCTATAACAGTAATCTGATTATCCCTCAATTCTAGTTCAACCAAAGTTGTAAGAGTATCAAGATTCTCAATTTTCTTGATTAGATTCCATGTAAAACATAATCTATGTATTTTTCTTAAGGGCTCTAAGTTTTCTAATTTTGTTAACCTCGAATGATTGAAATCTAATTCCTAAAACATTAATTAAATGATTATGCGGATATCAAGAATAGCATCATAAATTTTCAAATTATTATTATTAAATAAATTAATAGTAAAATAAAAATAAAAACAAACTTCACTATCAGGATCTATGATAAGAATCTTTTCTGGTTCTTCATTCTCCTCATTTTCACTTTCTCCCTCGATTTCAACCGAACCGTCGCTTTTATTGTCCTCTAAAACAAACATGTATTTGTCAAACATAACCGTGGATTTCAATGTTTTTGTCATCATCATGTTACAATAAATGATTACTGTACCATTGTGTGCCATTATTATAAAAAACAATTAATAATAATTTCAACACTTTCGTTAATAGGTTCAGTTCAAAGTTGCGTAGAAAATTGTAGTTAATTGTATTGGTTCATAAAATTAAAGTACTAAATACGAAACGAACCACTGTAGTATCGGTTTGAATAGTTTCAGGTTTTATAAACTTTACACTATGGTGAATTCTATACTATCCTACGTATGTGTATGAATGTGTATTGTTATATCACGTAAATGACAATTAAGTTAATACTTTATAAAATTTTCTTAAGGTTTGTTCTTAGTTTTTACACTTTTTACAATGAAATATAATTTACGTAAAATCGTTTTAAAGCATTTACGCTAAAAATAATTAAAGATTAATAGTAAAAATTATAGTTAGACTTTATTATTTAACAACAAATT